GTGTGTGTGTGTGTGTGTGTGTGTGTGTGTGTGTGTGAGAGAGTTAATAGAGAAAGCATCTAAAACGACTCGGCTTACTTTGCTTTTCATTCTTGTGCGACAAATAAAAACCTTGTTGTTTAAACCCTCAACATGTAAGTGGTGTTTTTATCAGCGAAGTCTTTGTGACGGTCACAAGTTGAATACATTCAGAGGAACACGACCGTCTGCGGCCGAGACTCCGCCGGTTTCACTCCGCTGAGTATAAACTGAACTTCAGTGGCTCCTGTGTTTTGTCCCGCAGGCCAACCTGAACGACTCTCACAACCAGATGGTGGTCCACTGGGCCGGCAAGAGGAGCAACGTCATCGTGGCTCTGGCCCGAGACAGCGCCGGAGCCATCGGGCCCAAGACCAGCTCGGTGAGTCCACATCAACTCGTGGTGTGTGTGTGTGTGTGTGTGTGTGTGTGTGTGTGTGTGTGCGCGCGCGTGTGTGTGTGAGTGAGAAACATGTTTCTCGTGTTTCTGGTGATGATATGATTGTTGAGCAACAGATTAAACTCTCCATCTGCTACATTAACACACACACACACACACACACACACACACACACACAGTCTGTCACTGAATTCCTCTCCTGTGAGTTTCCTTGAAGAGATAAACCAGATCAAATGTAACGTTTGCGTATCGATCAATAAAACAGGCGATTGAACGTTATCCATCGTATCAGAGACGGACAACAGGAACTGGACAATATCTGATTTTGAATTTAGACCAATATTACGACATACCAGCTAAACCGTGGACTGTTTATACGCGTAACACTTTCCCTTTGTCCAACCTTCTAATGACACAGAAACACTGAACCCTCTGATCTCAGAGCAGTGTTTCTCTCTGTGGCCTCGTTTGTCGCTCTGATATCAAGTTCTGCTCCTCTCTGAACCAGAACCATCAGGACTAGAAGCAGAGAGAACTAGAACATGCAGAATAACAAAGCTATAATGACATGAAGAAGAAAACAACCTAAAGTTGGAATGATGAGTCTGTGAGAACGGTGTTAATAACAGTAACGACAGCTGAGATCATAGAGAGCCGGTGAAAGCATCTTAAACTGTCTTTGCTTATCTTGTTAAAATGTCTCGTGTTGATGACCCGCCGCTGTCTCCAGGTCTACGTGTCCTACGACTACGGGACGTCCTTCACGCTGGTCTCAGACAAGTTCCAGCTGTCGGGGGTCCAGGCCAACGGCGGCAACAAGCAGGTCATCTCCCAGTTCTACCACAGCCCGGCAGACAACAAGAGGGTGAGTCACTGCTGGGGGGGTCTCTGTAGACCAGCCTGGAGTCACGTGAGCCGCATCATGGATTCTGTATTCACTGTATGTCTTAATACAGCTGTATGAAGCCGAAATACACTATTCTACTGTGATTTAATCACAATAAACAGATAAAAAGGATGTCTTTAATAACTATATGATGATGTTCATTTGTAAAGAGTCTGAGTTCATGTTCTGTTAGTTCTCTCTGCAAGACGACAAGAAAACAATTCAACAAAATGATCTTAGACGTCATATTTCTTCTCCAAATAATGTTGTTTTTTGTGCTGATGTGTGCATCTTTCCTTCTCGTTCCTCCAGTACCTCTTCGTGGACTCCACCAACAACTACCTGTGGAACACCTTTGACTTCTGCAGCAGCGTGCAGGGCTTCTCGCTGCCCTTCAAGCCGACCGACCTGCTGCTCCACAGCCAGAGATCCGGCCTGGTGCTCGGCTACGACAGCTCTCACCCCAACAAGCAGGTAACGCTGTTATTCATTACCATGAACGGTGGCGGCGAAAACACATGTGTAAGCGTGACTGATGGAAATGTGTGAAAGCTTTCTGATGTGACTTCCTGCAGATGGAGACGCTTCTAAACCATCAGACTTCCACGTTAGAGCAGAAATTCTTTCATTTTAGATACAAATGCTCCTACTGCTGGTCCAACAAGATTAACTATGAACATGCACGATGGCGTTCATGTTCGTATTCTTCTTCTCGACTTTATTTCTTAGAATTTTGATCTGTAGGAACTGGGGAGGACCTCTGAAACCCGGTTCTAAGCAGGAACCGGTTCTAAATGAGTAAAACCCGGAGTGTCGTTGAGGTCCGGAGTTATGGGTTCTGCTATCGGTACTTTAGATGTTCTGGAGTGAGACGCCCTCGTCTCAGACCTCCTCTCTCCGTCTCTTTGTCTCCAGCTCGGTACAGCGTGAGGTCATCGTTCAGCTGACGATGTAGATTAAAGATTTTAGAACTTCTTGTTATGCTAATAATAATACGAGTACTCTCATTGATAGGAGTATCAATGAGAGTACTAGTATCTATAGACTCCTGATGGTACTCATCCTGCTCCTCCATCTGCAGGATGTTGTAACCAAGAGAAGAAACCGGTCGCTCTGCTATCATCATGTCACGTCTTAGTTTCCTCGTCTATTAAGCACAACAGCAGCTCTCCGGTGTTCTCATGTGTAAGAGCTAAAAACGAAGGAATGAGGTTGACCTACATTTTAACAGTACCCCCCCCCCCCCCCCCCCCCCTCCCCTCCCTCCTGTAGCTGTGGAAATCGGACGACTTCGGGGAGACGTGGGTGTTGATCCAGGAGCACGTGAAGAGCTACTTTTGGTAAGACAACCGAGACGAGAACATAAACCGAGTGTGAGACTGTACTCTGCTGCGTTCAAGAAGCCGGTAAATGTAGGAAATACAACCGTCCCAGGAAATACAAGTTGAGTCAGCATCGCTGAAGACTTATGGTTCTAGTGGGCTTTTAATTAGGAGCAAATACTGTTAAATCTATTAAAGCTTCAGTGCGGAAACTACTGTGAGCAGAATGAGAGGTGACGATGAGCTGCTGGCTCGATGTTTGAGGCACACGGTGCTTCAGTACATCAGCATGTTAGGGAGGTAAAGATCATCTCCAGAAGAATAATTCCACTTATTTCTTGTCCAAAAAGTCTCAAATTCTTCCCCATTTTTCTACGGATCCACTAGCTTTTAAATAGGATCAATCGAAAGAGAAAGAAACATTTGTCTTTAAGGTTCCTTCCATGATGTCATCAGACACTTCTAATAACAATCTGAGCCCGTCGGTAGAAGAGACGACACTTTTAGTGGACGTAACACGTTTGTGTTTTTTGGAGAACATTGTCACATCTGTCGTCTTCGCCATTAAGCAAAAAAATTGCATCCACACAAAATGGAATTGTTGAACTAGCAACCAAAACATCTCATTACATTTATCGAATATGTTTTTTTGTCAATGCATAAAGTATAAAACACATGCTGTTGAGATGCACAGATTAGATCTTATAACCTGGGCTCCACAATAAGAAATGCCACGTCGGGCTCCTGGCTTCCTGCTCGTCTCTGCTGCACATGCTCAGTGCGGATCGAGGAACTCGTGAGAAAATGGCGGCGAGAAAAGACGAAGTTTATGAGCTAAAGTGCAAGCGAGCGTTTCAATTGTACAGGAAACAGGAGTTCAGTTGGGTGGTTTTAGAGAGGATGTAGTAACCTCATTCATTCATTCACTCACTTCCACATTGGCTTCACTCTGCATAACCCTGATCCCTGTATACAAAACCAATAGTTGATCTCTTGACTCAGTAAACATGAGTTTATGAGACCATAAACTCATGTTTACAATGTTTACTGAGGTAATAAATCAAGAGAGAAGTAGAGTCATTTTCTCATAGACTTCTATACAACCAGAGGAGTCGCCCCCTGGTGGACGCTAGAGAGAATGCAGCTTTAACACATGAAGCTATGACTTCAGTCCAGAGAGCAAATTTCACTGGTTGCAAAAAACCAAGATGGCGACGGCCAAATGGCTGAACTCAAGGATTCAAAACTACAGTCCTCAAACCAATAGGAGGCGTCATGTTGACTTCGTCCTCTTCTTATGCAGTCTGTGCTTTTGTTTGATTCTTTGTGGAGAAGATCTGTTGATTATTTCAACTTATCGACTAAACAAAAAGAGTGTGTATGAATGTCAGTCGGCTAAGAATTTCTTTGTTCAAGGAGAACCCTTATTGACATTATTATACGTCCGTATTTAATCCAATTTAGGTTATTAAATATGGCCCCAAATCACAAATCACAAATTTGCATTCAGTTCATGCACGAGCATCACAAGCACGGCTCCAAACGTCATTCATATCGGTTGCTCCTGGAGCTCAGGCAGGATAAATGCTGCTTTTGGCAACGTGACAAAATGCACTTTGAGTCGTCCAATATTTAATGTTCCGATTAAAAACGTGAACATAAATAAAAGCACTAATGTGTGAGATGTAAATGTCGGCCTTGCAGCTTCTTTGTCCTCGTGGTGCTGATGGTTGTTGAGAAGCAGTCAAAGCCAGTTCCTCAGCTTTCTATTCCAACAGAAGAAGACCAGCAGGATCTCTATATGCTGTACATAGTCAACTTTAACTCATTTGGACAAAAGGTCATTGATGGCTCTTCAGGTGTAGGAGCAGCCTTCTATGTTGAAGCCGATTCATTTTCACTGTTGCCGTCAGACAGACAATAAAACCAGCGATTGCATAACCCTCTTGTGCCAAACGAAATGAAAGCAGTCGGCGCACGAGGAAGTGCTAGAAAATGAGGAAACAGCATCAGACCACTTTGATGTCTGTTAGCTGATAACCCCCCCCCAAAAAAAAAAAGAAAAAAAAAAAAACATTTTCACATGAATAGATGTGTGAGTGGGAGCACCTTTAGGCAGATCACATGTTATCCTCACCGCTGCTGCTTGGTGATAAACAGATAACACGCGCACACAGTGTTCATGCTATTACTGAGAGAATAGGACCTGAATACTGACTCAGTAAAAACCAAATACAGGAAGTGTTTCTTTAAATATGACATCAATGTTGACAACAACACTTCCTCATTCGTAGATAACAAAGCATAAACAAATGTCTTCAGGGTTCAGTCTGATGTGTTTGTTGATTACAGCAAATGGAACAAACTAACATGTTTAACATGGTGTTTAAATGTCGGCAGATTAAGGGAACAATCTGAGGGCCGGTTTCAGGATTAGTAAGAATGGAAAGTAGATCAAACGTCAGTTGGTTTCTAAGTTGAAATGTCGTTTTATATAGAAGGCACTCAAGCAGTTTAACAGTGAAACGTTGGTTTTAAGGGTTAAAATGGTTGAGTTATCTGCTGCGATGAAAGCGGTTGTAACATCAGTTCAAGTCGAAGAAGAAGACTTCGTTGCTTTGAACTGAAACTTTTTTCTCCTTTTTTGATTTCTGCATTTTCAAAGTCTGATGCAGCAGAATCCGTCTCTTAACTTTCCTCCTGAGTGACTCCACATCTGTGTCAACACTTCTCATTATCCATTTATGAAAACTAGCTTCAGCAGCTAGGTCAGCTAATTCATGTGTGTGATCAGAGAGAAGTATGCGTTCCCACTCGTATGATAGAAGCTTCACATTTATAACCGTGCATCGTGTTTCTGTAAACTCATCACGGCTCATTTTTCATCTCAGCAGGTATAACTTATTCTGTCTCCTGTCGGACAATTTCTGTGCTGTTGGATTATGTGAAAACGAGTAATTTTAGCCGTTTCCATCGTGTATTCATGAGTCGCTTCAATTGTATTTAAAAAGACCTCCGAACACGGTGACAACCAACAGACGACGTGGATCGATGCATGCAGCCAATGGACCACGTCTGGGCATGCTCATTTAAAATGAGGCAATGCAACTTTTTAAAGAAGAAAGGGCACGTTCTTTCTGTCACAGATAAGAAGTTGAGTTGATTCGCAATTAAGAGCAACTTTGCTCAATTTAATTCACTTGTTGTGTTTATGTGCGGCGCAATTTCACGAGTCACGACAGGTTGTGAAATGGTCACAAAATGCACATTTTTGGTTTTGTTTACAGGGACATGAATTGGTTTTTTTTGTGTTGCCTCAGGATGAAAATAGATAGAATTTAAAAGTCAATTAGGAGCCTTATTGGTGGTGGACAAACCAATTAAATGCATCCACATGTCTAAGCAACAGTCAGTGCAAGTGACAGTTTTTAATATGAAACAAAGACAACTTTAATTGGGCGAGACGGGACTCATGAACTCATGAAGTTTCAGGATTATCTCAGATTTTTCGGTCAAATTGAAACCTGTGTGGACGTATTTTATCCCCCTATTAGCGCTACTCTGAGCCATTTGTGTCTCTGCATTGACTCATCATTCAGCCACATCGTCTCTCTCCATTTAGTCTTAAAAAGACTTTATCACGCTCGGTCTTCTTGGCCTGCCTGCTTGGCAGATAAGCAACAAGTTTAGTTTTGTGTTGTCATCCTGCGTTCATACATTCCTGATAGTTTAACCATTGATGGCATTCAGCGGGCCGCCAGTAGGATCTGATAAAGTCTGTTAAAGCTACACCACAGCAGTGGAACAACAGCCAAGAGTAGCTGCAAATTATCTGAGGACAAAGGCAGTGCAAGTAAAGATTGATCTTAAACTTCCCCCCACTCCCCCGTGTCCCATCCAATTTGTGTCTAATCCTGTTTGTTCTGGCTGTTTGTTCTGGCTGTGCTGCAGATCAGTGTTGTGGCGTAGAAAGCCAAAGAGACTCGAGCTGCTGCTGGATGCGTTTTTAAAAACCAACCCAATCTGATGGGTCGGTTCCTCGCCCAACTCTTAATCCTGTGATCTCACTGCTCGGAGACAGACGGAGTTAAATCCTCTGTGCATACAATGAGAAGTACAATCTCGTTTTCCATATGGATGACGGACAATGCTACAAACCGAGTGGTTTCAAATGCATTTCGAGAAACAAAGGGATCAGGGGGGAAGAGAGATGGCAGAGGGAGAAGGTCAACTAGAAAACATGGAAGGACTAAATGTCACTGCTGAAGAAAACTAAAGGCGCAAACATCATTTTTTAACTCAACATTCGTGATTAATTGACATGTTGATGATAGCTCGTGCTTTGTATTACGTACAGATGTGTTGGGGAAAAATCAGTCTCTAATGATCTGATCATATTCACAATCCAGTGTGTTAGTGCCCTGTTGCCTTTTAAGAAAACTAAGCTATCTTTGAGGTGTTGCCTTGTTACGTTGCCTTGTTACGTTGCCTTGTTACGTTATCTT